AGGGAACAACATGAGTGCCACTTTGAACCCTTGTAGGAAAAGCCAGATAAAAATTGAATCAATAAACAATAAATATCCCTCTTCCTTTGTATGTTTTGGAGTTCTGTGGCTTTGTGGAAGACTCATTTTTGATTATTTTTAAATTTTCTTTTCTATGACAGCAAATTTCTGGGAGAATGCTGCTTCACTACCTACTTCTTGATGCACAATACTCTTTTTTTCTCCCTATGTTTTTATTTTATTTGTGTAAAATATCCTACATTAGTAGCTGACTGACACTTTGCATTGACCATTCCAGATTGGTGCAAGACATTTTTCAGCCCCTGCTAAAAATGTTGAGGCAACTGCTCCTCTACTATAAGCTAGACTGGAAGCTAATTCTTCTATTGACAGCAGTGACCAGGTAGTATCCACCATATCCTTTACCTCAGACCAAGAGAGTATCTTAGGAGACACTGCACAAGTCACATGGTTCTTAAAGCTTTATCCAACAACAACTTCCTGCAATCCCTCAGCTTCACCCCTTTCTATTTATGGCACACATCTTGTTCTGTCTAAAGGCTGCAAAACAAACTTCTGCCCAGCAATCTTCCCAGACAATACATGAGACTGCAGTCATCAAAGAAGGAACAGACAAATTGAAATGAGCCCCAGTGGGTGGCAGAGGCCTGCCAAAATTAGACAGTTCAGTTCACTAAAAAATGGGTTGTCCCAGGTTATTACTAATTTTGTGATTTGAAGTAATATATAGCATCTTTGTGGGGAGGAAAGAGATTTGATTTTGATATGATGATGATGATGATGATGATGATGATAATGATGATGATGATGATAACAAAACAGACAAAGTAATAGAAAATGAAGAAGCTAAATTGCTCTGGGACTTTAGAATTCAGACAAGCACCTGCCACACAACACCCCAGATTTAATAATTGTTGATAAGAAAGACAAAAAAGTTTGGGTAGTGGCCACTGCAATACCTGGAGACAGCAGAATAGAAGAGAAGGAACTGGAGAAAATCACAAAATATAAAGAGCTGCAGAAAATGAAGAAGCTAAATTGCTCTGGGACTTTAGAATTCAGACAAGCACCTGCCACACAACACCCCAGATTTAATAATTGTTGATAAGAAAGACAAAAAAGTTTGGGTAGTGGCCACTGCAATACCTGGAGACAGCAGAATAGAAGAGAAGGAACTGGAGAAAATCACAAAATATAAAGAGCTGCACATAGAAGTAGAACGACTATGGCAAAAGAAAGCAAAGATAGGACCAATAGTTACAGGCACCTCAGGTGCAATCCCAAAACATCTGGAGCACCACTTGAAGACTGTCAGCATTTACAAAATCACCATCAGTCAATTGCAAAAGCCAGTTTTACTTGGATCAGCTTATATCCTGCAATGATACCTTTAACACCATGAAACCATCAAACAACAACTGCCAATCCCAGGTCCTTGGGGAGGACTCGATAGGTGGATAAAAATGCCAAATCCCATCTAAACATCTGGCTGACTGTGCAACCAACCATAATAATAATAATAGGTTAAGGAATTTGAAGAGTTAAAAAAAAATCCTGATCAAGCTCATTTTTGCATGACTGCCCCATTCAATATTTGAGCATAGTCCACAGACAGTTAAAAAAAAAAGGCTGGCTATCCTTAATAATCATTTATTTCTATAAGTTATTCCCATGACATGTCACTTCCCCAAATATTTTTCATGCTGCTTGAGAATTTTTGGAGTTGTCACCTCAACATATTTGGAGAGTGTCATCCTGACAGTGAAAATTTCAGAGCATTTGGTTTACCTCTGAAAGTTAATTCACACAATGCTGCATATACAGAGGTACTGTATACCTAAATTTGAGAAATTCATTTTATATCAGTTCATGTACTAGTAAAATTTCAGAACAAACTGTCTTAAAAACAAATTCCTTTTGCTAAAAGTTAATTCTGAAAACCTTTCCAAGAAGATCTAATTACAGTTGAGATTTTCTCCCCAAAGGGACCTGCCATATTAATGAATATTAAAAGTTATTTTTAATTATGATACATAAATGTTCAGTAACAAGTAGTTTTATTGTAAGATGCTATCCTTCCATTAGTGTGTGTAAGAAGATGAAGGTGCACAGGTGTGCACTGCTGATTATGTGATATGTGCCATCAAGACAGTGTCAACTCATAACAACTACAAAGATAAACCTTCTCCAGGATGAATACACAGGTAGGGTAGCATTATTTCTCTTCTATTTAGCCATATATTTGTTTCCATACTTTTATTTTTTGATTTGGGGAAAACTATATGCAACCAATAAGAACTTTTCCCCTTTTATCATTACATCTGCATATTAGAGGGGAGTACTTTTGGGGGTGTTTGTTCCTTTATTAGTCAGTGGATTAAAAGTGCCCTTTTTTCCATTCCTCAGAATTCCTGTTTAACTGGGATAATTTACAAAATTAACTGAACAGTTAAAAAGTGGAGTTTGCTACTGCTTTTGCATCTTGCTGAATACCATTCATGTGTACATAAACACCAATAAAGCATCAATGATATATAAACTTAATTCATTTTAGGAACCATTGTCTTAAGACTTCCTTTTCTGCAACATATGACAAAAATTGTTCTTGGACTGTGTTTATGCTACCTCAGATCAAGAATTCTTTTCTACATCTTCAGATGTTTTACAAAGAGTAGAGAAGGAACTACTAGGGAAAAAAAATCAAAGGAGTATAAATCCATAGCAAGCTTTACATACTGTGTTCAATATAAATGTAGGCAAGGGAGAAAAATGGAATTCTTGATACATTTGTTCCAGTTTACAAGAACAAGCATTTCATGAATTCCCAACTTCAAGAAGAAATTTGGATGAGAAACACTTTGGGAACCTTCCTGTCAGAAATATGGGATGATTTGGTGGACATAGGATTAATGAATAATAATAATTTTACATGAGACCACAATACTAATTAGTTCAATTTTTTCAATAATATTCAACTTCATGTCCAGCTGTAAACCTCCAGTTTGCAGTTATGAAAATGTGTACATGCTTGAAATATTACCTAAACTTAGTTCATATGTTCATTTGAGGAATATTTGCCACAAGTGTGCACTTGTCTAGGTATCTGCTTCTATAATAAGGTAACTTGTTTGCTAGTCTCATTAAAATAGATTTGAATCCTCTGGCATTTCCAGAACATTGTTATCAAATGTATGAAGCCTTACACTGGAGTTACTGATCAATTCCTTTTTGGCCACCATGATGGCTCTCTGCTCTCAAATTGTAATGCTGAAATTTGATGACCAAACAATCAAATCTGACAATATGATTTGGTGGTGGGTGGTATAAATTAGAAACCAAATAGAAGCATTGAATGTAGCTAGAACTGAAACTGGCAAAGAAAACAGAGACTCCAGTGTCCAGAGACTGGCTCCATAAATGTTCTCTGCCTTTGCTTTCCAGGTGACTGTCTAAAGAATTTTCCAATGTGATCTGACATTCATTGTTGATGCACGATAATTAATGTGATCAGTAAAGTTAACCAGCCATCACTTGCAGTTTCTATTACATTTCTTTTGGCAAACCTCTCAACTGATTATAGAATTTTCCCACATCTGGATGCAAAAATAATTCCTTGGTTAAGTAAAAGGACATGTACAGATCTCTTGCAGAAAGAAGCTGTTTTATGTTTATTTATGTAGTTTTCTAATAGTGTGTGCCTGTACAGTACTGGTATTAAATCACAGTAATAGTATTAAGAACACAATAGTGGTATTAAGTCACAGATACATTTAAAGGCAAATAATCCTTGTTTTTTCCCCCCTTTTCCAAGTAGATGTAAGATAATGGTGGTAGGCAGGGAATTTCCTCCATTAGCCTCAAAAGGATTTTTTTTCCCTTCCACAGGCAAACAGGCAATATTTGGAGAAGCTGCTTCCTCCTCCTCCTCCTCCTCCTCCTCCTCCTCCTCCTCCTCCTCCTCCTCCTCCTCCTCCTCCTCCTCCTCCTCCTCCTCCTCCTCCTCCTCCTCCTCCTCCTCCTCCTCCTCCTCCTCCTCCTCCTCCTCCTCCTCCTCCTCCTCCTCCTCCTCCTCCTCCTCCTCCTCCTCCTCCTCCTCCTCCTCCTCCTCCTCCTCCTCCTCCTCCTCCTCCTCCTCCTCCTCCTCCTCCTCCTCCTCCTCCTCCTCCTCCTCTTTCTTAATATTTCTCAATATTACTCAGAATATTAGTATCAATGAAGAATAAAGAAACCACTAGGACAGGAAAAAAAGGGGGGGGGGACATTACAAAAGTTCAGTCACTTTCAAAACATATGTCTGTTCATGTGTTCATTTTATATGGCACTGTTTATCTAATTTGTTAAAAGAGACCTGAGAAGGAAGGTGGGTGCAGACTTACCTTCTGACTTTTCCCTGCCTCTGTTTTGGGGAGAACAGTAACAAAGAATGCCTTTTCAGCCTTTCTCTAAGAAACCTTCTCAGCCTCTCTCTACTAAGCATACCTTAGACACTTCAAGATGGTGGACCTGGTTCCTTATTTCAGAAAAGCCAAAGGCTGTCAGGATACAACTATAGGAAATCAGTTCTACAAACATTGTTAGCATGTTGAGTTGACATTCTTCCATTACCTTTGGCTTTTCAAAACAGGGCACAACTTTAGTTTCAGTAGGCCTCTCTTCTCCTGACCATCTTCCACAGCTTGGTAAATGACACAGGTTCAGCTTACAAATCACCACTAACAAAACCCTCTCCTGAATGAAATCATACATTTTTGGTCTGATGATGGAAATTCCAGAAAAGGGACAACTGCCGAAAGGCTTGTCTTGATACCTGATTAAAGCGGCCTCTACCATGTGAGAATATAGAAATAGCCTGTGATCAATGGAGAGGCCCATGAGAAAGATGATATTTCTGGGGCAATAATACATAAAGTAGAACTCTGAATGCAGAATGGAGGTTGGGAGAAAGGATTAACAAAATACATGAAACAATGTGGTTAATATGCTTCCTCTGCCTTGTTTTTTCTCTAGACTAATTACAGTTGAACATGATAAAAGAAAACCATACTGCATTTTCTGACTTCATTCTCCTTGGATACTCAGAGCTGTGGGATCTGCAAGCTTTGGTCTTTGTTCTCTTCCTCACCCTCTATGCGAGCATCATAATAGGAAATGGACTAATCATTCATATTACAGTGACTGACCCTCCCCTGCATACTCCAATGTATTTCTTTTTGAAAAGCCTCTCTTTCCTGGACATTTGCTATACCTCAGTCACTCTCCCCCAAATACTGACCAATTTAGTAGTGGAAAAGACAAACATTTCCTTCATTGGCTGTGCTGTCCAGGTCTATTTCCTGCTTTTATTTGGAGGCATAGAGTGTTTGCTCCTGGCTGCCATGGCTTATGATCGCTATGTGGCCATATGCAACCCCTTGCGTTATAAACTCATTATGAACAGGCAATTCTGCCAAGGACTTATCTTTCTATCTTCAGGTATAAACATGACCTTCCACATAGGGCAAATATATCTGGTATTCAATCTGCCTTTTTGTGGATCCCATGAAATTAACAGCTTGTTCTGTGATATCCCCCCACTGTTAGAGTTGGCCTGTGCTGACACCTACGTTAATAAAATTACTGTGTTAGCAGCTGGTGTCCTTTTTATCGTCATTCCTTTTTTTCTTATTGTTGCTTCTTACGTGAAAATCCTTTCAGTTATTCTAAAGATCCCTTCAGTGGAAGGTCAGAAGAAAATATTTTCCACTTGCTCTGCCCATCTTATTGTGGTATCTCTCTTCTATGGCTCTGCAACTATTGTCTACCTAAGTCCCAAAACTAAGGAATCAGTGAATATTAACAAACTCCTTTCATTATTCTATACTGTTTTTGTTCCTGTATTAAACCCCATTATATATAGCCTGAGAAACAGAGAAGTGAAAGTATCACTGAAAAAACTGTTTAAAAGACAAATGTGATGCTGCCCTCATTTTTTTAAAATGCCACTATATCATAATAATACAATGTACTGTACTACTAATACTATAGATTGTTGAGAAACCTGCTGATCGGTGTCCCATCAGATATAAGGAAGGCAATAGGGGAATGGCAGTACGGTAGGTATTAGCAAGAGGAAATTCTGGCGGAATCTGGAGAGCAAGACAATCCTTAGCAATAGGAGAGAAAAACTAAATCTTTCTGGCAGAGAATAAGGGAAAATGATAAAATTGTTAAGAATAAGAGAAAGTGATTTAAACTAGAGCAGGTTCTGATTTCCTAAAAGAAAAGTTTTTCTTAGGAAAAGGAAGAACCAGTTTTGTTTTGTTTTTTATCTGCGCTCAGTCATTACCGACTCTGCAGTGACTGCTTGGACAAGTCCTT